ACATCCTGCCAGAGTCCTCATAGGTGAGAAAACACGTTATCAGGTGTCCCAAAGGCAAGGGTGACTGGGAGGGTAGCTAGGAGGAGGGTTGCTGGACCTGAAACCCAGACAGGCAAATGGCACAGATTAATAACTAGGAAGTTTTGTTATTGATCTACCGTGTGAATGATTTAAGATAGGGCGATCTAGGCTTTTCCGAAATTTGGGCAGACACAGGGAAGGAAACCCAGGAAGCGAGATTGCTGGTTCAGCAGTCAGAGAGGAGCCTGCAGTTCATCCAGCAGGTGGCGCCATTCAGCTGGTTATACGGAGAGCCCGCCCTAGCAATGTTGGTACCAGGCTTTCCTACAGGGAGGGTCCTAGGCACCAACACCACACAAAGAGGGCACTAGCCTGATGGAGCCTTATCTTTTCTGGTGAATGAGAAGGAAAATATTCATTTGCTATTCCCTGGGAAGTCTGGCCTAGACTCAAGAAGTAAACTGTGGACCTTGGATGTCCTGGCTAGATTCCAGAACTAGTCAGAACAGGGTGAAAAAAGTGCGACAGTAATTAATAAAGGTACATTTCTCCCCTAGGCCTCCCCTTCCAAGGAGAGAGAGGAGATCCAGTTATAGACGCTGTCATGAAAATAATCACTTGGATTTGGATTGGTTTGAGTAAATGGCTGGGATGATTTAGGCTCTTCTTGTACTTACAGTAACTATTTTGTGCGCCCATCTGAGTCGTGCCGAAGGATCCAGACACTTCTCTGAACCTGGCTGCGTTTTCTGACCTGTCTGTGTCTCGGTGCAGTCTGTAAAATAGGGACATTAACAGTGCTTATTTCTACGGAATTCACTGTGAGGGTTAAGTTAACATACACAAAACACTTAGGGATAGCATCTGATCCATGGTTATTACCTCTAAGCTATTATTGCCATCAGTTCAGCCCAAGGTAATTTTCTCAACTAGGCCATGTAACGCTAATGCCTTGTTTGCAGGTCCCCAGCAATGATGGATAAGATTTAAATGAGGAAAGAAGGGACTTCCAGTCGGTTGTGAGGAGTAGACAGCCCATGCTATTGGCGGGAAGCACCAGACAGCTGCACCATGAAGGAGACTTGGTGGAACACCTTGGGCAAGGAGCTGGACAGCAAGGCAGGGGAAGGGCTTAAAGCGGTGACTTTTGTCACTGTGGACCTGACTCCCTTTGGTTTCTTTTCTCCATTTCTAACTTGTATGGCCTGAAGGATCAGAGGCGTGGGAAAGGGGACAGGGCTAGGCAGGCAGGATTGACCTCTGCGTTATTGTCTCATTCCAGATTATTCTGTTTGGTGGTAAAGATGCAGGAACCCTGTATTCAAGAGTGTCGAATTGGAGCTATAAATACCATTTTTAAGGTGTGTGACTTTGGGCATTTTAATTATCTTTTTTTATGTCTCAGGAATCTTTGGAATATTAAGCTCATGTTAGGATTGCATTGCTTCTACAACAGCCTAGCTCCTGGCATGAAGGATATATACGTATTTAGGTAGATATGGGTGCTCCACATTAGTTGTCTGTCCCACTCTGGGCGTGGACAGGCAGACCCCGGGATCATGTGCTGAATCTTCTGTGAGTCTAAAGCTGCGCTGCAGAATGTGGTAGTTAAAGAAAAAAACGCCCTCTACGGGCTCAGATACTTGAACAACTGGTCCACAGTTGGTGGTGCTGCTTGGGGAGGATGTGGAATCATGGAAGGTGGAGCTTTGCTGGAACAAGTCCTTACTGGGGTCTAGTTTTGAATATTTGTACGCTTGCCCCTCTTCCTGTTTACTCTGTGCTTTGTGCTTGCACTTGAAGGCGGGAGCTCTCAGCTTCCCATGCCTGTGGCCGTGCCTGTGGATTATTGCTTTCCTTCCCTGCCATGGCAGAGTCTTCTCCTCTGGAAGCATAAGCCAAAACAAACCCTTCCTTCCACAATTCACTCTTGGTCCTGGTGTTTCATCACAGCAGCAGAAAGGTAGCCATAACAGACCAGCCAGATTCTCTTCTCTCTTTCTTCCATCCAGGACAAGGCCTGGGTTTTGATCTCTGATGGTGCTGGAGAACAGAACACAGACCCCACCAGCCTTTGATCTCTAATGCTGCTCAAGAACAGAATGCAGACCCCGCCAGCACATCTTCCTGCTTCTGTTTCCAAAGACCTCAGCTTTCAAGGGAAGGCAGCACTGGGCAGATGAGAGAAGCCTGAGCAAAACACCGAGGAGTCAGGATTTGTCTCCAGGCTGGTATTGCCATCTGCTGGGAAGGTGGACTGGCTAGATAGACCTCAGTTCTGGTTGCTCTTGGCACTCCCATTAGTGAGGCCTCAGGAACTTGTTTCTATAGTCCCAGTTCTCTCTGTGGCTACTTGCTGCAGACCCAGGCCACAGAGGAGCCTTTAGGACAGATTGCATTCAGGGTTGAATGGATGTGGCAGCTGCCTGCTGCTCATGCCCTGTTGTGTGCAAGCTGCTGGCCAGTAATGAGTTCAAATGCTACCCAGCATCAGATGGAAACAGCAACTCTGAATTGGCTTGCAATTACTCAGAAGTCATTTCTCATAAATCCTTTCTCTTGCTACACCATCGGCTTCAAACACAGGCAACATCGAGGGCTGGCTGTGCAGGCACTGTGGGTTCTCACGGGTAGGTTCTGACTGCATCTCTGAGCCTCCTGGCTGTGCACTGGGATCCATGTGTTGACTGTTCTCCTATGAGTACCATCAATGTGAAAGATAGGATCCAGGCTCAGTCACATCAGTATTGACCTAAATGAGACTTCAAGTTCCTTCTCCCAAACGTACGCATTATTGTGAGTCAGCCATCACTCAGCTGTGTTTTGCCCTTATCTTTTAGTTAGGAAAGAAGACAGCATGAGATTACAGATATCCTCCTGCTGGGAGGGCATGGGGGTCCCTAAAGTCTCCAAGGAGCTTGGAGAGAATGGAAATGTCCACCCAAACAAGTTCTCTGATCCTCCACTGTGGAGGCATCTCCCAGTGACTCAGATGGAGGTAGCAAAGGCCCAGTTGAATAGTTCTTACTTTTGCCATTCCGTGTTCATCAGTGCCTAACACTGGCCAGACTCCTCATGGCTTTCCTGTGTCCTTATAGGACCAGGCTAGGTGGGAGGCTGACCTGCCTGGGAGGGGTCATGTAAATAGAGCCAGCTGCCTGGCCCTGGTTCCTGAGTGGCTCTGTTCTCCAATGTTTTGAGAAGAAGCCTCCCACCTGAGATGGTGCTGACGGCTCGGCTCCAGTGGCCTCGGTCTCTGACTGTGACAGTGAGGTGGAGGAGCAGCTGGGAAAGAAGGAAGGACGTTGGCTGTCAAGCCCTTGATAGTCACTGTAGCGACGTTCTGAAATGACTGCCATCAACAGCGGCAGTCTGAATTTTATTTGCTCTTCTTTTCTCTTTGGGGACAGCTCAGGCCTAAGAATGAGAGTAGCAACAACCTATCACAGGTCTGGTTACTATGACTATGGGGATTCAAGAGTCTGTGGAGCAGGGGGATTGTAACACAGGGTTTGTGGGCTATCTGCAGGATAGAGCCTTGTCAGGGGTGTTACTGTGAAGCCATTTGATCTGTTTTGCAAGCTCACAATTTGGAAGCCAGGCTCTTCTGAGATGGGGAACATCAGTGCTGGTGCCTACACATAGGCCACTGTCAACATTGGACTGCTGTATCTTTCAGAAAGATCCATCACGAGTGGGGACGGAACTGAGGGGTGGGAGTTGGCTCTCTGCTAGAGGTCTTATAGCAGCAGATATATTATGGGAGAGGGACCATGTGTTCATGCTTGCCTATAATGCCAGCATTTGGAGGAGTAGGTCCAGGAGCAATAGTTTTTCCAGAATATGCTACCTAAGTTCCTGCCTCCAAACACAACAAACAAAAACCAATGTGTACACATTTAGGGGAAAAAATGATGCTTCCTGCCTGAACACAGTGGTTTCTGATCCTTTAAGTGTTGGCTGAGATCCCTGCTTTATACCTGAGCCATTATGCTAAAACCCCAAGGCAAACATTGTTTTAGTTACTGTCTATTCCATGAAGAGACATCATTACTGGAACAGTTCTTATAAAAGGAAATATTTAATTGGAGCTTTCTTATAGTTTTCAAGACTCAGTCCATGTTCATCATGGGTAGGAACAAGACACTGGTGTAGTAGCTGAGAGCTATATCCTGACCTGTAGGCAGAGAAGAAGAGAAAAGGAAAAAGAAACTCTGGCCCTGGTGTGGGCTTTTGAAGCTTCAAACCTCACTCTCCTAGTGATATACTTTCTCCGGCAAGGCCACACATACTCCAATAAAGCCATACCTCATAATCCTTCTAATCCTTTTAAACAGTTCAACTCCCTGGTGACTAAGCATCCAAATGTATGAACGTATGGGGGGCCATTTTTATTCAAACCACCACAGTCTTTTTTTTTTACATGTAATATGAACATATTTATTAGGATGCTCAAGAATGAACAACATTATTTTCGCTCTTAATGTGACAGAGAATACATTTGACCCATGTTGAGGGAGGAAAGGGATAGGGCTCTCCGAGTGGGTGTCAAACAGCCCCACAAGAAATCCCCATTCAACGAAGGGCAGAATGTCCCTGACAGCATTGTCTCTGCTCTGAGTTCCAGCCCCGGTATTCTTTATTACAACTATTCTGTCCTTGTCACTCTTCAAGATCCAGGTAGTCAAACTCAGGCCGCCTAGGAGTCTGCAGACCATCCCTTTGAATTGTTATTGCCTTGATACCCTCAGTAGGGAATGGGGTGAGAATAGAAGGTTACACATATCAAAAACACAACATTAATAAATGGCACTTGGACGTAAGTTTAACATTATCAGACTTTCTCTTCAAATGACGGTGGGTGGGAGGGGCTGCTGAAAGCTCTTCAGTCATGGTAGCATATATGGAGATCTATGCAAAGGTGCAAGGGACGAGTGTTACTGTCATCTTGTCCTGCACAGAGGAGTGAGTTTGCAGATGGAAGCAGACACTATCCTTGGCTTAGGTGTTTCCTGGTTCTTCCCACTGTTAAACTGTGCCGTTCTGCCTCTCACCTGCTTTAGATATCATTTTGCTTAGTGTAAGTGAAACAGATTAAAAATGGTAGGAGAGGGTGGAGAGATGGGACAGAACAACCCTGTAAGACTATAAAATACAAAAACCAGATGTAGTACAATATTTATAATAGAAACTGGCTGAAAACACTACATGCTAACAGACGGTATGATACAGAGTAGGGTGGGAGCAGACAGGAAGGGCAGAGCCACAGGCCTACACCAGGAGCCTTTCAATAGACTGCTGGATGGACTGGATCTTCTGCTTCAGCTGAGAGCCTTCTTTGATGGTAACAGAACAGGCGATGACAGGTCTGGAGACCCCACAGGCCCGTCCTAGAGCCTGCTTGGAGCGCACAAATACATAGGGGACATTCTTGTCTTCACACAGCAGTGGGAGGTGCAGGATGATCTCCAAGGGCTCAGCGTCTGCTGCCATCAAGATGAACTCAGAGATGCCTCTGTTGAGGGTTTTGGTGGCTTCATTGGCTCCTTTCCGAAGCTGCTTGTAGTTGCACGACTGCTGAACAAGGTCCAGCAGCTTCTTGGTGAGGTGGGCATCTGCGAGGGGATAGGCCTTCGGGTTCACATCAGCCTCTGTCATGGCTGCGGTGCGTCGGCCTCACCGCGGGTCGAGAACAGCCAAGCTCCGACAGACCAAAAGCGCCGCACGGAAAGACGAGCGGAAGTCACCCACCACAGTCTTAAAAACTACAAAAATCCTGCCATTTGCAATGGATGTTGACTGGCTGAGGTTTTCTGTCCCACCAGGTCCCACAGCTGTTTAGCCCCAAAGAAATCACACAGAGGCCTACATTGGCCTCGTATCTCAGGCTTCTTATTAACTCTTATAACTTACATTAGCCCATTTTTCTTGTCTATGTTAGCCACGTGGCTTGGTACCTTATTTGGCGAGGTAGTCACATCTTGTTTCTACTGTGGCTGGGTCATGACTACAGACTGCAGAATCCTCTTCCCAGAATTCTCCTGTTTTCCTTTCCCCACTTCTACTTCCAGCATGGTTACCCTGCCTATACTTCCTGCTTAGCTACTGGCCAATCAGATTTTATTAAACAAGTATAAGAAACAAATGTTTACAGGATAAAACCATTGTCCCACAGTAAATAGGTGTGAGTAAACTGTTAGGGCATTATACTACATGAAAAGAGTCAGACTGTGATTTGAGGTAGAGTGCTTGCCTAGAATGCACTCTGGAAAACTGAACCCACACACCACTACAAGCACTTAGTTTCAAGCTTCAGTTCAGCCCAGGGAATATGATGAGACCACAAAAGGAAAGAAAATTTAACTATAGGAAGTGAGGTCCTGTTAATGAACATGATTATGGTGATCAATGGTTATGTGTATCAAATCATCAAAGTTAATACCTTATATAGATATTCTTTAAATATTTTTTAGTTTTTTTTAATCTGAATATAGTTTCCCCTCCCTTTTCTCCTCCCAGTTGCCCCCCACCTCTTCTCTCATCTGGATCTATTCCTTTTTTGTTTTTCATCAGAACAGAACATGCTTTGAGGAGATAACAGCCAAACATGACAAAATAAAATATAATGAGATGAATTAAAATCCATCATATTAACATTGAACAAGACAAGCTAACAGAAAAATAAAGAGCCCCAAGAAATGGCAAAAGAAGAAACAGATACCTACATATTTACACATCCAGCAGTCCCATAAAATCGCTAAACTGAAAGCTATAGTATTTATGCAGAGGACCTGATACAGACCTGTGTAGACCCTGGGCATGCTGCTTCAGTCTCTGTGAATTCATATGAGTTTTGCTTAGTTTTTAGAGGGCCTTGTTCTCCTGGTGTTTCCATCCCATTTGTTTCCCTCACTTCTTTTACCTCCTCTTCTGTGTGGTTGGTTCCCTGAGCTCTGAGCTGCAGATTTGATGGACACATCCCATTTAGAGCTATGTGATCCAAACGTCTTCCTCTGTGTAATGTCTTGCAGTGGGTCTCTGTATTTGATGAAGACTGAATAAGGCAGAGATGCTATCAGTATAGCAGATTATTATTAGGAGTCATGTTGTTATTATTGTTAATTTTTCTTATTTGGGAACAGTAGTATTTTGTTTTGTTCCCAGGTCTCTGGACTATCTATACTCTGGTTTTTAGCCACCCAAGCAGTGTCTGGTATGTGTTTCATCTCATGGAGTGGGCCTTGAGTCAAATCAGACAGTTGATTGCTCTCACAAGGTTTGTTCTACCATTACCCTAGACTGTCTTGCAGTCTATTTTATTGTAGATAAAAGGTTTTGTGGTGGAGTTGGTGTTTACTTTTTGATTTTGGTAACTTTTGAAGAGTACCTTTTGGTGTCATAGATACTAGAATATAGTGGTGAAGGTTCTATGTAGGAACCAGCTCAACCTCTTCATGTTTGATGAGCTGTGTGGGTGTTTTCTTCAGCAATGGGGTTTTGCTGTCAGTTTGTGGAGAGCAACCCATTGTCTTGGCAACAGCCTGGCTTGTCTAGGGATTTTAGGGAATCCCTTTGTCCAAAACTCAATTGAATAAAATCTAGTCCTAGCATGGGAAGCTTTATTTAACAACAAGAGATGACCAGTAGGTTCTGTCTCCCCGTTACCTCATTATTTTGAGACTTCATTGGGGTTGCCTTCATATATTGTTAGACATTTCCATTGCAGTAGGGTTCCATACTGCCACTGAAATTCTCCTCTGATGCTCTCAATTTTAGCTGTCCCTGCCTAATTCTGTCTCTCAGTCCCATCTTTCCTCCCCTTTCCCAACTGATCCTCGGGTTCTTGTCACTTCCCAACCTCATACTCCAGTCTACCCATAAAATCAATTTTCTCCTCCCAGGGAAAACCATGTGTTCCTCCCACCCCCAGTTCCTTCTTTTGTGCCTAACTTCCATTCTTTTGATGGAGGACAGCTAGGTTGTTTCCAATTCCTTGCATTTATGAACAGAGCAGCAATAAACATGGTTTAGCAAGTATCCTGTGGTAGGATGAAGTGTTCTTTGGGTATGTGCCCAAGAGTGGAATAGCTGGACGTTGAAGTAGATTAATTCCCATCTTTCTGAGAAACTGCCATACTAATTTCCAAAGTGACTCTACAAGTTTGTACTCCCACCAGCAATGGAGAAGTGTTCCCATTGCTCCACATATTTGGCAGTATGAGACATCACTTGTAATATTGAACTTAGCCTTTCTGACAGGTGAAGCTTCTCAGGATCATGGGGTCTCATTTATTAATTGTTGATCGTAGTCCCTGTACTATTGGTGGTATGTTCAGAAAATCTTCTCCTTCTATCAATGTAATCCATCATATAAATAAACTGAAAGAAAAAAACCATATGATCATTTCATTAGATGCTGAAAAAGCATCTGACAAAATTCAACATCCCTTTATGATAAAAGTATTGGAGAGATTAGGGATACAAGGGTCATACCTAAATATAATAAAAGCTATATACAGCAAGCCAACAGCTAACATCAAATTAAATGAAGAGAAACTCAAAGCCATCACACTAAAATCAGTACGACAAGGCTGTCCACTCTCGCCATACCTTTTCAATATAGTGCTTGAAGTTCTAGCAATAGCAATAAGACAACATAATGGGATCAAGGGGATTCGAATTGGAAAGGAAGAAGTGAAACTTTAGTTATTTGCAGATGATATGATAGTGTACATAAGCGACCCCCAAAACTCCACCAAAGAACTTTTACAGATGATAAACACCTTTAGTAATGTGGCAGGATACAAGATCAACTCCAAAACATCAGTCGCCCTCTTATACACAAAGGATATGGAAGCAGAGAGGGAAATCAGAGAAGCTTCACCTTTCATGATAGCCACAAACAGCATAAAATATCTTGGGGGGTAACTCTAACCAAGGAAGTGAAAGATCTATTTGACAAGAACTTTAAGGCATTGAAGAAAGAAATTGAAGAGGATACCAGAAAATGGAAGGACCTCCCTTGCTCTTGGATTGGGAGGATCAATATAGTAAAAATGGCAATTCTACCAAAGGCAATTTATAGATTCAATGCAATCCCCATCAAGGTCCCATCAAAATTCTTCACAGATCTTGAGAGGACAATAATCAACTTTATATGGAAAAACAAAAAATCCAGTATAGCCAAAACAAGCCTATACAATAAAGGATCTTCTGAAGGCATTACCATCCCTGACTTCAAATTCTATTACAGAGCTACAGTAATGAAAACAGTGTGGTACTGGCATAAAAACAGAGAAGTCGACCAATGGAATTGTATAGAAAACCTGAATTTTATTCCACAAACCTATGATCACCTCATTTTCAATAAAGGAGCTAAAAGTATACAATGAAGAAAGAAAGCATCTTCAACAAATGGTGCTGGCACAACTGGATGTCAACCTGTAGAAGAATGAAAATAGACCCATATCTATCACCATGCACAAAACTCAAGTCCAAATGGATTAAAGACCTCAATATCAGCCCGAACACACTGAAAATGATAGAAGAGAAAGTGGGAAGTACCCTACAACAGATGGGCACAGGAGATCGGTTCCTATGTATAACCCCAGCAGCACAGACATTAATGGCAACATTGAATAAATGGAACCTACTAAAACTGAGAAGCTTCTGTAAAGCAAAGGACACTGTCACTAAGACAAAAAGGCAACCTATTGACTGGGAGAAGATCTTCACCAACCCCGCAACTGAAGGCGTAAGTCACAAACAATGCCACACCAGTTTGGAATTATGATTAATAGGGTGGTATTTATTTAAAGGGGAAAAAACTTACAGATCACCGTCCCAGACAACAGCCCTCTGCGCAATCAGGAAGGGAGTCTAGTCGCCGGCTGAGCAGGAAGTGAAGAGAGAGAAGAGAGGAAAGTGGCCATTTATTTAAATGGAGAGAGACCATGCCCCAATGGGCTGGTATCTCAGCGGCTATAGGCTGGAGGAGCGGGAGGACCTCCTCAACACACAACACGCAACAGACAAAGGTCTGATCTCCAACATATAGAGAGAACTCAAGAAACTAGACTTTAAAATGCTAATTAACCCAATTAAAAAAAATGGGGCACTGAACTGAACAGAGAATTCTCAACAGAAGAAGTTCAAATGGCCAAAAGACACTTAAGGTCATGCTCAACTTCCTTAACAATCAGGGAAATGCAAATCAAAACAACTTTGAGATATCATCTTACACCTGTCAGAATGGCTAAAATCAAAACCACCAATGATAGCCTCTGCTGGAGAGGCTGTGGAGGAAGGGGTACACTCATCCATTGCTGGTGGGAATGCAATCTTGTGCAACCACTTTGGAAATCAGTGTTTCGGTTTCTCAGGAAATTCGGGATCAACCTACCCCTGGACCCAGCAATACCACTCTTGGGAATATACCCAAGAGATGCCCCATCATATGACAAAAGCATTTGTTCAACTATGTTCATAGCAGTATTATTTGTAATAGCCAGAACCTGGAAACAACCTAGATGCCCTTCAATGGAAGAATGGATGAAGAAAGTATGGAATATATACACATTAGAGTACTAGGCTGCGGTAAAAACAATGACTTCTCGAATTTTGCATGCAAACGGTTGGAAATAGAAAACACTATCCTGAGTGAGGTAACC